TCACATCTTCGCAATCCACTTCAAAGCTTTGGGTGTCATCATCATTACTTACTTCATTTCCAACACCAAAATAAGCATTTAACTTGCATTCAACATTTGCACTTAATGTAGTAAGGTGTGCAATACAAAAATCATAAGTTTCTTCAGTTTCAGCAGCTTTACTTGCTAGTGCTCTAAATGCGGTCATCAATGTTTTATATCGTGAGGCTTGTTGAAATTTCACATCTACTTGAATGTCATTCTCCTTAATGTCCTTCACAGTTTCGGCTCTTGCTTGTTTGGTCCACCTCTTTAGAATGTATTATGGAGGAACCTCTTTCATCTTCAATATGTCTCTAATAACCTTCAATGAGTGACAACACAAGATTCCTTCCCTTTCAAACTTTGTATAATTACAACCCAAAGAGTCATCCCTCTCCATCTTCACTTTCCTTGCATGTTTGTTACCAACATTAACAACTATGTAAATGGTACTAGCCTCGCCATATTCAATTATTTCTATGTCCGATTCAATGGATCGAAAGTACTCATTTTGAAATTCCTCAAAAATCTTTTTTGTATACACATTATCCATTTGAATTAACATTCTTATTGTTGCTTTCACCTTTGGCACAAAGCATATCCTGCTTCTAACTCCTTGTATCGCTTCTCGTAAAGTACCCTTTCAAAATGCATGAAGAATTCATTTATGTTAAAATCAGAATGAACGTAATCTTTTAAAAAAGCACTAAAAGATTCACTAAGTTGTGTGGTACTCATTCCCGCAGCCCATGTTGATCTAACATTTGGCCAGCCCCATTTTTCTTTCATCGCAAAAGTCAATTTCAACTAATGGTTTTCATGCGTATCATATTTATCAAGCATTTCTGCCCACTCTAACTTCTATTGATTTGCATCTTCAATGTCAAAGAAGAATTTATTTAGTACACCATTTACTCCCTTATCTTGGAACAAGCAATTAACATGTTTTAATGCATTTTGCATCAAATGCCAAGTACACAATCGGTTACTTGTGTCCGGCATAACGATGGGTATGGCTTTAGCCATTGCAGCATCTTGATCGGTGAACAAAGTTTTTGGTGCCTTTCTTGACATAGCCTCTAGAAAATTTTGAAACAACCATACAAACGATTCGGCGGTCTCATCATACAACAAGGCTGCACCAAATATAACTATTTTTCTGTGATGGTTGAATCCCACAAAAGATGCAAAGGTCTATGTTCTTCGTTTAACTTATAAGTCGTATCAAATGTGACAACATCGCCAAATTTGGCATAATCCATGATCATTTGTGCATCGGCCCAAAACATATTCGTTATTTGCTTCTCATTATCTAATTGAAAAACATAAAAGAAGGAAGGATTCTGCAAAGATTTTTTTTTAAAGTATTGCAACACATTACTTACTTCCCCATATGCTAAACTTTGTTGTCTTTTAGTTCTCAAATAATTTGTTTGATCTAATTTTGTAAACCCAAGACACTGCCTCCCACCAGCTTCCTTACCCATGAATTCAAAAGACTGGCCTAAACGAAGACCAGATTGTGCCGCCAAATCTAACTCAATTGCTTGGGCAGTCGATATCTTTCTTTGTGACAGCAACATGTGGACACACTTGGGTGATACAAGATCATGGTTGTATTTTTCTTTGAAATCAGTCACAACAAATTTCCCACTACCCTCATCTAATTTAACATAAAGTCGAGCCTCACAACCAGTCCTAGTTTCAGCTCTAGGGTTTTTTGCCAATGGGTCTCGTTTGTCAACCTTCCGAAATCCCTCCTTGTTGCAAACCAAAAGTCTACGAATAAGTTGGTCAGTGAACTTGTTCTTCCTACAATAATCCCTTCTTATGCTAAACCCCATTCTTCCTTCATATGTATTATAAAAATCATACACACATTGTTCAGAATCAAATGTCATTCCCTATTTTGGCTTCCAAGCACAATCATTCTCAAGTTCCATGTCCATATCAAAATGCAACTGAAAACCTATATAAATAAAATCTTAGTTACATAAATAAAATCTTTATTTTAGAGACCAAAAAAAAAAAAAAACCACAGTATCTGTACTATGATCAAAGAACTCATTGTTACGCTTTGATAAAGAAACAAGAAATCATAACTAAGGATTGAGACCCAATTAAGATCAAATAATAAACCAATTAAACTATATAATCCCAAACTCCAACTACTTGGTTCTCTTTAAAGCGTCTAAGAAAATGTATGCAAGCCAAGTACCTTTGGTAACACTGATTCATGGGCAACAAGAGTCATTTAGTTTTGGGTTGGGTCACTACACAGGGTTTGGCAAGCCTATTGTAGTTCAACGGATAGGAAATAACATAAAAATACAAATTGTGAACTTTAAGAGCCTAATCATCAATTATAACAAGTGATTTTTTTTATCTGTCTATATGTTCATATCAAGCAATGGTGCATCTAGCTGTCCTAAACAACACTGTCAATTTACATTTCACCTTTCGGCACACAAAACTGCCAAACAATGTGACTGATTCCAATTAAGCATGATCAAAGGTGAATTAAGTGCTTGAAGAAAATATCAATTTACATTTCAAAGGTGAATTAAGAGCCTGATCATCAATTAAGCATGTTTTAACCAAACAATGTGACTGATTCCAAGAGTAACAAGCTACACTTGAACAAAGTGTCAAATAGTAAGTGCTTGTCATATATTAGCAATCAAGAGCAAGACAAGAAAGTACCATACACTAAATTTGCAAGCTTAATGCACAACTACAGATAAATCTATATATAGACATCTATACAAAGACATTAAGTCTTAGAAGACCCAAATTGTAAAAGGTGAATTTTCCTCCATTTTAGTCAAACCCAAATTGTAACAATTATAACAAATTCTAACAAATTGTACAAAAAAAAGTGTCTAACAAATTGAACTAACAGTCATGACTCATGACAAAGTCATCAATTATAACAAATTGTAAATAAATAATGCCTTTACAAAGCTTAAAGATTAAAAAAGCAAAACAAAACAAAACAAAAAAAATTCGAGAGACAAAAAAATATTCCAGAGAGATAAACTTACAGTCACATGAAGACTAACCTCTAATTTCAGTTTGAAAAAATTCCAAACAAACACACAAAATGCAGTTCAATTATAGAGACAGAGACAATGAAGATTAATCTCTAGTTTGCGAAGTGAGGGCAGACAGAATAAGGGCAAAGCAATGGATTCGGTTTGGGGAGTGGGTCGTTGTAGAGAGGGTCTATCGGTGAGGTGGAGGAGAAAAGCGTGACGGCTCTAGTTTGCCAAGTAGACAGAATCTGTAACGGTATCGATAGTGGGTCACCGTCGTCAAATCTACAACGGTGTCTGGACTGAATCGCCATTGGTATTGGGTCGCCAGTGAGGATGGATTCGACAAAGAAGAAGGAATGAGTGTGTGTTTTTGTGAGTGTGATTCCAAACAAAAATCTGTATAACCTCTGTATAGGTTGTGTTTTGTTTTGGGCGAGAAAATAAAATTTCAAATTTTTTATTTTTATTTTTATGGCCGTTGGATGTGTAACGGCTGATCTCAACCGTTGCAAAAAGGAGATCAAGGAGGATATGCAAGGAGGGAATCCGAACTTGTTGACAAAAGGTTGTCAGTCAATCTTCATCAAAAAATGTTACACTCACAGGTGAGTAAATTAAAAATAATTTTTTTTAAAGATTTTCTTAAAATATAAGTTATTATTTCTAATTTTAAAAATTATATTACGTTTATTAAAAATTTTAATTTCATTATAAATGACCTATTTTATTAATAAATTATGAAATCAATTAATAATTTTTAATAATATCACAAATTTATTTTAAAAAATTCAAGAAATTTTATTATTGTATAGGAGAGGAATTAATAATTTCATTTTTTCAATTAATTTTATTAAATAAAAAATTCTGACAAGGAAATATATACAATTTTTCAAATCACATAGAACAATTTATATTTTAAGTAATCTCAGGAAGTGTATTTTTAATTTACTCATCAATTTTCATACAAAATTTCACAATAGAAATATAGAATTATATTTGATAATAATATTTTAAAATATATAAATTATTTTAATATGACATGCCATTTTGGTATTGATTTTATGCATATATATATATATATATTTTGAGGATTTCCTCCGGTCTAGATTTTAGATTAGAGGGCGCTGTTTAAACCTGTGGGGCTCGTGACATGTCTCGTTTCGATAATTTGAATCGTTCATTTTGTTAGGCACTTCGTCTATTTCATCTACACAAAAAATTAGATTAATCTAATAATCGTAACTTGCTCAATTTATTACGTTTGTCACTAAAAAAAATATAATTTATTTTTTAAAACACAATTATTGTCTATTTTTTTAGTGAAAATTTGAAGTAATTACAGTTATTGGATCGATCTAATTTTTTTATAGATGAAATACATAAAGTGTCTAACAAAATGAACTGTTCGAATTATCAAAACGAAACCTGCGGTGAGCCTCACAACTCTAGACAATGCCCTCCAATCTAAAATCTGAACTAAGGGAATCCCCTTTTTTCCTTTTCTTTTTTTCTTTTTTGGTAGCACTACTCACGTTACAATAACTATATCATAAATTATTTATTATTTTGTGTTAGCATTATATTGATTTAAAAATCTCATCATACAAATCTATTACTAATATAATAATGACATATAAGATGATTAACACTTTATGATACAATCATTCTAGTAATATTGACCTTCATATCAATTTTCTGATGATTAGTGATAGAGCGTCGGTGGGTTGACCAAGAGCAAATCAATGCATTTTCAAAGTCCAATTTGACCTTCACTCTTACCATTTAATGATCAAGCCAATGCCCCAACGGTTCTAACGCGTCACATAACAACTATGCAAATTGCAAACATTAGTGGCTACGTAGTGGACCAGTGTACAATTTGCTAGTGGATGGAGCTTATATAAAGAGAGTTGTTTGAGTGGCAAAAGAGCAAGCCAAGCGAGCTGAGAAGCATTTAGCAATGGCAATGGGAGTGTCTCAAAAAAGGGTTTGTGTGATTCTTCTTCTTTTCAGCATTGTCTTCCATTTGAGTGCACTCACTCTTGGAGATGACAAGGTTCAGAAAGAGAAGTTTGGTGCTGATGATTGTGGATTTAGGGGTAGGAGAGGATGTGAAGGTGGCAGCTTCGGTGGTCGTGGTGGCCGTTTTGGTGGTGGCAGGGGTGCTAGTGGAGGTTTTGGTAGTGGTGGAGGTGCTGGAGGAGGTATTGGGAGAGGAGCTGGAGGTGGTGTGGGAGGAGGTGGAGGGTTTGGAGGTGGTGGAGGTGGAGGTGTAGGGGGTGGTTCCAGTCATGGTGGGGGAATTGGAGCTGGAGGAGGTCTAGGTGGTGGTGTAGGAGGTGGTGTTGGTGGGGGTGGAGGTGGTGGTGGCGGGATATGCAATCTTCATATCCACGTCATGATGGCCTGTGTGTTTGTGATCAAGTGGTCGTAGGTTGACCAAGTGGACATCTATAAATTGTTCCGAGTGTGCAACACATTAATGGCTACGTAGTGGACTGGCGTATAATTTAGCAAGTGGGCATGGCTTATACGTAGTGGACTGGTGGTGGTGGCGGAGGCGGTGGTGTTGGAGGAGGATCAGGCCAAGGTGGTGGATTTGGAGCTGGTGGAGGCTTAGGAGGTGGTGTTGGTGGAGGTGTTGGAGGGGGAGGAGGATTGGGAGGAGGTGGTGGTGGTGGTGTAGGTGGTGGATCAGGGCATGGTGGTGGCTCCGGTGTAGGTGGAGGCTTAGGAGGTGGAGCAGGTGGGGGTGGGGGTATTGGTGGTGGGCATGGGGGTGGAGTTGGTGGAGGTGGAGGAATTGGAATCGGAATAGGCATTGGCATTGGAGTTGGAGGCGGTGCTGGTGGTGGTACTGGTAGTGGATCGGGTAGCGGCTCTGGCAGTGGGGGTGGAGGACGATAAACCTACTTGGCAGTTTTCCAATTAGTCCTCCTCATATTTGATGAGTTGTTTTTAAGTTGTAATCACAGTTAAAAGAGTGTACTTGTGGAAGAGCCTTTAAGTTGTTGGGTTTGTCTTACACTATAATTGTTATTCCCTAATAAAAGGGTTTTTTTGTTATTACGAGAGATACGAATCCAAAATGGTGGTTTGAGTTTTTTTATTTTCATATTTTTTTGTTTTTAGTGAATAGTTTTGAAATTTTAAATATTTTTTTTTATTTTTTTAGATGTACTTTACTTAGATGTATTTAAAAAGTAAAAAATTTGTGAAAAAATATTTTTAAAAATTAATAAATACATAAAAATATAAAAAATATATTAAACTCTTGTATTTTTTTTTATATTTTTGGAATTTAGTGAATTTTTAAAAGGTTTTTTTTTAATTTTTTTTTCTTTTTAAGTATATTTATGTTAGGTATGTCTAAAAATTAAAAAAATTGCTCAAAATATTAAAAAAATTCAGTAAAAACAAAAAACATAAAAAATAAAAAAATAAAATTTTCTGAAAAGTGATTTTGAAAAATGATAATCAAGCATGCTGTATACTTTTCCTCTCCTTTTTGTTCAAATATTATATTCCAAACCATGAATATAAAGTCACTTATAGCCACAACTTAATAGATGTTTAATGCAATAAAGGGGTTTTTTTTGGAAAGTGGGTTATAATCCACTTCCCAGGCTATAACCCATTTTCCTCTCTCACAATTTTTAACTAAAAAATTGATTATAACCATCTTCCTAAAATAATTCAAAATACATGCGTTTAATTACATGCGTGTGGTATATATAACAATATAAATAGCCCTCAAAAGAATAAATAAATAAATAACAAAGAGAGATAGTAGACGGGAAATTATTTAATAATTTCGAAATATTACGTTGTCATATTTTAAGTCAATCATTAATTATTTAGTCTTATATTATTCCTCCATTTCTAACATTAATCGTGAGTCCTTACCGTTCTCTACCAATCAAAACCTTATAAAACACCACGCGTCCATATTTTCAGAATATTGAATAATCACTCATTCTTTTTGATATTCTTGAACAACATATTACTCAATTCGATTTAACTCTGCCCGTTTACTGTGCTAGATATGATCGATCATATCCACATTGACTTTGGGATAATTTGATTTCTAATCTTGATGGTCATTGTGTGTTTTAAGGAGCAATCACATTGTAAATATAGAGTTGCAGCTTCTTCTTTCTTTTTTTTTAACAAAGAAGTTCTATTGATACAAATCAAAATTACAAGGTACACAAAAAAAAAACATCACAGCAACACCACTCATATCCCAACTAGACTGGCATAAATGAGGATGTAAAATCATTTGGTAGCACTCTCACAATGAAACACAAAGTTATTTTAAAATGTTGATTAAAAATTAATTTTTTTTACTTTTTCTAACTTTTTTTTGAAAAAAAAAAACATATAAAAAAGTTAAGAATTAATATGATCCAAAATAAATTAAAAATCCACTTTTTAATCAAATTTTCAAATTAAGTCACAGTGAGAGAGGTTTCAACTATATTGACAAATACACACCCATCCTGTACTATCAAATTTCCAAATTAAGTCTCCCATCCTGTACTATCAAATTTCCAAATTCAGTCACGGTTAGAGAGGTTCCAACTGCACTGACAAATACACACCCATCCCATACTATCAAATTTCCAAATTAAGTCACAGCTAGAGTGGCTCCAACTGTTCTGACGAATACACACCCATCCTGTACTGACAAATACCACACCCATCCAAGATTTGTAACACTACACCCACCCCCTCAACTCAACAACTCATCCACCAAAAATAAGAGCAAGGATTCTCTCCTTAAATCTCTTACTTAACTTCTTATTTGATGGATTATTAGACCCATTTTTGGATCTAATTTTGATAATTCGAACCGTTTATATTTTAAAATTTGTCATGTATATCATAACTGTAAAAAATTAAGTCGATTGGACATCAAAAACCACGCGAATTAAAAGTTTTATTACAATAAAACTGTTTATTAAATTTTTTTAATAACGGTTTTTAGTTCTTCCGATATTCAATCAATTTGATTTTTTACAAGTATGATGTACATGACAAATTCTAAAATATGAACAGTTCGGATCATTAAAATTGAGCCCAAAAGGAGGTCCAATGGCCCATCAAGTAGAAAGTCAAGGAGAGAATTGAATGAGGGAATCCTTGCTCCAAAAATACATGCAGACATCAGCCACTCTACCCATAAGAGAACAATAGGCAATCTCTGGTGCTCTAGAACTTAAAGATGAAGGTGCAAGTCCCTTAATTAGAAAAAAAATAGAGAGGAGAAGAGAGAGAGAATTAAGAGGTTGGAGACCAGTGGTTCGTAGACATGGAAGGCAAGGCCCAGAGTGCAGGAGGGTTCAATCTGCTGTCCATACCATCTTCGTCGATGACATCCCTGACTCGATGGATCCGAGGAGGTTACATTCTCTATATTCAAATTTTGGTGTTGTAAAGGATGTCTTCATCCCCTTTAAGAGAAGAAAACTGTCCCGTACCAGGTTTGGTTTTGTTCGGTATGACTGTTTAGTGGCAGCAACTATGGCGCTTCAAAAAACAGATGGTATGTAGTGTGATGATAAAGCTCTAAAGGTCAAGATGGCCCAATTTGGGAAGGAGGAGGTTGTGAAGCATAAGTCAGCACATCCAAATGTTGGTAGAAATGGGGGAGGTAAGTCTATTGCTATCCTAGGGTCACATAAAGGGAACATGTCTTATGCGCAGGTTCTCCGAGAAGGTGGGGCCACGTCAAAACCAACCATAACTGTCAGGGCACTGAAAGAAGGAAATGGCTGGTTATATGAGAGTGTAGTGGTCAGGTTGAAGGACTCTTGCTGATTTTAAGAAGGAGTTATTGATCAGGGGTTTGGGGGAGGTTAAATTTACAATAGGTGGGGGTAGAAATGGTGATACTCTCCTTTAACTCAATAAAGATGATGCAACAGGAAATTAATAGAATGAAAGATTGGATTAAGGAGTGGAGTGACTCAGTAAAAGTTTGGAAACAAGGCATGCTCTTGGATCAAGAAAGAATTGTGTGGTTAAGCTGTTATGGGGTGCCTCCTAACTTATGGAGCTTTAACACTTTCAACAGTATAGGAAGGCAGTGGGGGCAAGTTATTGAGTTAGACGATGACACTTTGAAGTTAAAAAACTTGCAAAGTGGTAAGATTAGGATAACTACATCCTGTATGGAATCTATTAACACGTCCATTATCTTAGATTGTGGAGGGGTTTTGTACCCAGTCAAGATCTGTGAGGAATAGATTGTTATTTCTAAGGTAGTAATGCAACAATGCAGTTGCCGATCCTCCCAAAGGGAAAGTGTTAGCCAGAGTTCAAACAATGAGGCCATGGCTGAGGCTTCCGATTTAGTTCTGGGTAATTTGCCGGTGGTGCAGGGGGACGATGAGGCTGCCACGATAGGAGTTGGTGATCACAGAGTTGCTGTGGCAGTAGAGGAGCGTTCCGTGTCAGTGGATGATGGAAAGATAAGCAGTGGGCAGAGTGTTTCTGTGGTGGAAGAGACAATTAGTATGCTGGAAGTGGCATGTGGAGCACGTAATGCCAGCCCTGAAGTCAATTTGGTGGGCTCTATGCAAGGTGTAAGTGGAGGTCATGAAAATGTCAATGATGTATTATGCACGCCTGGTTTCATTAGAAGTGTGAGTGGTTCTATTGGTATTGGGGCTGGTTTAAATCTTGAGGTGGTGTTGGGCAAAGCCCAAGCCCAACATGGGGGGAATAATTTTAATCAAGCCCAAGGCCTTGGTGATACTAGCTGTTCAGAAAGTCCAACTAAGGTTGAGAATAATTTTCAGCCTATTTATGGGGTTACGGCCCAGCACTAATTACGAATTAAGTCAATCAGTGGAGTGGGTTTGGGCAAGTCTGGGAAGTGTTCAAAACTTTCATCTCAGGTTAACAAAACCTACAGGAAATAGAAGAGTAAAGGGATGAGAATGAGAGTCTGGAATAAGAAAGGAGGTCTTGAGCTTCATAACTGAATTGGTCTATCAGCACAAGGCAAGAAATGAGCAATTCTTAGGTCTGCAGTGGCTGCTATTTCGCTGTCTATGGCAAGTGATTCCAGTCGTGGTAGATTGCTACTCAATGAGGCTGAAGCAACTTTACAGATAGGGCGAGTACTCGGGCTCGAATGTGAAGGCAAAGAGGAGGAGGTCATGAGCAAGCTTATGGAATTGGAGTCCATGGATATGGACAAGGTGCACAAAAAGGGAAAGGAAGTAGTCAGTTAATTGACTTCTTCTAGGAGATTCATGAGTGCTTTTTGGGTTAAATGAAGCTTTTATCATGGAATGTTAGGGGGTTAGGTAGGACTGGTAAATGTAGGAAAGTCAAGCAGGTGCTTAAGGAGAGGAAGATAGATATGGCTCTCTTGCAAGAGACCAAAAAGGAGGTTGTTAATCCAGAGCTGGTGCAAACTATTTGGGCTGGGGATAAAATGGAGTTTGTGTCAGTTGATTCAATAGGGTCTACTGGTGGGCTTCTTTGTATCTGGAACCCTGAAGTTTTTCAGCTCAAGAACTGCTGTTGCACTCGCAATTTTATCCTTTTGGCATGTTCCATCTTTTTTTCTTTTAACTGTGTAATTGTTAATGTTTATGGGCCAAATGATCCAGTAGGAAGAAAAAGGGTGTGGGATATTCTTGTGAATCTTAAATCACAATTCTTGGACCCATGGTGCTTGGGGGGTGATTTTAATGAAATTAAAAGCATTGCTGAAAGAAAATGGTGTTCTAGGAAGGATAAGGGAATGAAGGAATTCAATGAAATGATAGAGCAATTAGAGGTCTTTGATCTACCTATGTGTGGAAGGAAGTTTACTTGGTGTCATTCACAAGAGGGTGATAGATGGAGTAGGCTTGACAGATTTTTATTAAATCCAGAATGGTTGCAGACATTCAATTTTAAGCTTTGGGGTTTACCTAGACTGGTCTCTGACCATTGCCCTATTGTTTTGATGGAGGATGAGAGGGATTAGGGGCCTACGCCATTTAGGTTCATAAGTGCTTGGTCTTTGCATCCAAAATTCTTGTCATTTGTGGAACAAACATGGGCTGCTCTAAATGTGATGGGTTGGGCTGGATTCAGATGTTTAGTCAAATTCAAAGGGTTAAAATCAGCTTTGGAGAGGTGGAATAATGAGGTGTTTGGAAATGTGGAGAGCAAACTCAAAGCTATAGAGGAGGAAGTTCATGCCCTTGATATAGTTGCCGAAGGAAGGGCTTTATCTGCAGATGAATTAGCTAGAAAGAGAGAACTGAAAGGTGATGCTTGGCAATTAAGTAAAATGCTAGAGAGGATATGGTTCCAAAAATCTATACTTAAATGGGCATTATTGGGTGATCGAAATACCTCTTTTTTCCATGCTATGGCCAGATGTAGAAGTAATAAGAATGCCTTATGCTCTATCTTGGTGAGTGGAAATACTGTAGAAGAGCCACTAGCTATTAAAGCTGAGGTCTTGAAACACTTTACTAATATGTTTGAGGAGTCTTTGAGGGTTAGGCCCACCTTAGATGGTCTTTTTAAGTCAATTGGGAAAGGCCATGATTCAGGATTTTTGGAAACAGAATTTTCTGAGGAGGAAATCTTAAGTGCTATTAAATCTTGTGGGGGAAACAAGGCCCCCAGGCCTGATGGATTTAATATGGGTTTTTTTCAGAAATGCTGGCATATAGTGAAGGAGGATGTATTGCAATTTATGAGGGACTTTTATCAAAATGCCAAGTTGGTTAGAGGGTTAAACAGTTCCTTCATAGCTTTAATCCCAAAAAATGAGAACCCAGCTAGCCTAAATGAATATAGGCCCATTAGCCTAGTGGGCTCCATATACAAGATATTGGCCAAGGTACTATCAAATAGGTTGAAACAGGTGCTGCCTAGGATCATAAGTGAAACTCAATCAGCATTTTTGAAGGGCAGAAACATTTTAGATGGCATACTTATTGTTAATGAGATAGTAGATGGGTGGAAGAAGGTTAGAGAAAGTGGAGTTGTGCTTAAACTAGATTTCCATAAAGCCTATGATTCGGTCAATTGGGAATTTTTGTTTTCTATGTTATTTAAATTTGGTTTTGGTCCTAAGTGGGTTAGTTGGATGAAGGAATGTGTTGCTTCTGTGAGAACTTCAGTGTTGGTTAATGGGTCTCCAACTCCTGAATTTTGTCCTCAAAGGGGACTTCATCAAGGAGACCCACTGTCACCTTTCCCGTTCATCATTGTGGCTGAAGCACTTAATATCTTGCTTGGTAGAGCTAAAAATTTGGGCCTGATTAAAGGGGCATTTGTTGGGCCCAGTGGTCTTCGGATTACTCATCTTCAATTTGCGGATGATACCATTCTATTCTGTGAAGCTGATTGTGGGGAAATAGTTATTATAAAACGAATTCTCAGGTGCTTTAAAGTCTTGTCAGGACGTAGAATTAATTTTAATAAAAGTGTGGTATGTGGGGTAGGGATTCCAGATGAGCTGGGTCAAGATTTTGCAAGTAGGTTGAATTGTAAATTCCATAAATTGCCCATCAAATACTTGGGGCTGCCATTAGGGGCCAGCCCAAGAAGTAGTAGAACTTGGCTGCCAGTGATTGATAAGTGTAAACAAAGACTTGCTTCTTGGAAGAGAAGATATCTATCCTTTGCAGGTCAGCTGACCTTGATTAAGTCTGTTATTGCCAGCTTACCTATTTTTTATCTCTCAATCTTTAAGATGCCTGAGATGGTAGCAAAAAAGATGGAAAGTATTCAGTCTGCTTTTCTTTGGGGTGGCTCAGATCTGAGGAGGAAAGTGCACTTGGTGAAATGGGAGGATGTTTCTAAAAGTAAAAACATAGGAGGGTTGGGTGTTAAGAGAACTAGAATTATGAATGTATGCCTTTTAATGAAGTGGTGGTGGAGGTTTGGTACTTAAGAGAACTCTCTCTGGAAGGATGTTATATGTGGTAAGTACAGGGAGTCAGGATGGGCATGGTTTCCATCTACTGAGAGGGCTAGCAGCTTCTCCAAGATTTGGGATGACATTATTTACACTGTGGCTTCTAGGGCAGATCTTATGCAATTTTTTAGGAGCAATGCTGTGGTCAAGATTGGGGATGGTAGAAGAATTAGATTTTGGTCTGATAGTTGGGCAGAGGGTGTTTGTCTTAGAGATGAGTTTCCTAGACTATATTCTCTATCAGTTGATAAACAAGGGTCTGTATTCATGTTTCACAACATAGAGATGTATATGGGAATTGGGTGTTTAATTTTAGAAGGCCCCTCTTTGCTTGGGAGGAAGAAGAATTGAGTAGATTGCTAGTGCATTTAAGTAGTCCCCCTTTGCTCAGAGCTAATGTTGTTGACTGTCTGACTTGGAATGCTAATACATCTGGTTGCTTCAGTGTATCATCTGTCTATCAGTGGTTTGAATTGGGCTTTGGGTCTAATAGTTTGATCTCTAGGTTTTTGTGAAAGGCCCCTGCTCCACCAAGAGCACAATTCTTTGGTTGGTTAGTTTAGAGGAGAAGAATCAAATCTGCTAGTTATTTGCGCAGGATTGGTATCCTTAATGCCAATGTTGATGTTTGAGGAAGTGGAGTTGTGCTTAAACTGGATTTTCATAAAGCTTATGATTCGGTCAATTGGGAATTTTTGTTTTCTATGCTATTTAAATTTGGTTTTAGTCCTAAGTGGGTTAGTTGGATGAAGGAATGTGTTGCTTCTGTGAGAACTTCAGTGTTGGTTAATGGGTTTCCAACTCCGGAATTTTGTCCTCAAAGGGGACTTCGACAAGGAGACCCACTGTCACCTTTCCTGTTCATCATAGTGGCTGAAGCACTTAATATCTTGCTTGGTAGAGCTAAAAATTTGGGCCTGATTAAAGGGGCATTTGTTGGGCCCAGTGGTCTTCGGATTACTCATCTTCAATTTGCGGATGATACCATTCTATTCTGTGAAGCTGATTGTGGGGAAATAGTTATTATAAAACGAATTCTCAGGTGCTTTGAAGTCTTGTCAGGACTTAGAATTAATTTTAATAAAAGTGTGGTATGTGGGGTGGGGATTCCAGATGAGCTGGGTCAAGATTTTGCCAGTAGGTTGAATTGTAAATTCCATAAATTGCCCATCAAATACTTGGGGCTGCCATTAGGGGCCAGCCCAAGAAGTAGTAGAACTTGGCTGCTAGTGATTGATAAGTGTAAACAAAGACTTGCTTCTTGGAAGAGAAGATATCTATCCTTTGCAGGTCGGCTGACCTTAATTAAGTCTGTTCTTGCCAGCTTACCTATTTTTTATCTCTCAATCTTTAAGATGCCTGAGATGGTAGCAAAAAAGATGGAAAGTATTTAGTCTGCTTTTCTTTGGGGTGGCTCAGATCTGAAGAGGAAAGTGCACTTGGTGAAATGGGAGGATGTTTCTAAAAGTAAAAACATAGGAGGGTTGGGTATTAAAAGAACTAGAATTATGAATGTATGCCTTTTAATGAAGTGGTGGTGGAGGTTTGGTACTGAAGAGAACTCTCTCTGGAAGGATGTTATATGTGGTAAGTACGGGGAGTCAGGATGGGCATGGTTTCCATCTACTGAGAGGGCTAGCAGCTTCTCCAAGATTTGGGATGACATTATTTACACTGTGGCTTCTAGGGCAGATCTTATGCAATTTTTTAGGAGCAATGCTGTGGTCAAGATTGGGGATGGTAGAAGAATTAGATTTTGGTCTGATAGTTGGACAGAGGGTGTTTGTCTTAGAGATGAGTTTCCTAGACTATAGTCTCTATCAGTTGATAAACAAGGGTCTGTATTCATGTTTCACAACATAGAGATGTATATGGGAATTGGGTGTTTAATTTTAGAAGGCCCCTCTTTGCTTGGGAGGAAGAAGAATTGAGTAGATTGCTAGTGCATCTAAGTAGTCCCCCTTTGCTCAGAGCTAATGTTATTGACTGTCTGACTTGGAATGCTAATACATCCAGTTGCTTCAGTGTATCATCTGTCTATCAGTGGTTTGAATTAGGCTTTGGGTCTAATAGTTTGATCTCTAGGTTTTTGTGGAAGGCCCCTGCTCCACCAAGAGCACAATTCTTTGGTTGGTTAGTTTGGAGGGGAAGAATCAAATCTGCTAGTTATTTGCGCAGGATTGGTATCCTTAGTGCCAATGTTGATGTTTGCTGTGCTTTCTGCAAAGCAGCGGAGGAAACTATTAACCATGTATTACTTCACTGCCCTTGTGTGTGGCTGATATGGTCTTATTTTGTTAAAGGGTGAGGGCTGCAGTGGGCTTCACTTGGTTCGGTTCAGAGTGCTCTTCAGTGGTGGTCTGGTTGTAGAATGAGGCAACTTGAAAAGAAGTTGTGGAGTGTAATACCATATGCTATTTTCTGGTCCATATGAAAACAGAGGAATGACTCTGTGTTCAATGGGGTGGAGACTAATTTCATAGCTCTATGTGAAACCATTAAGGTTCGAATTGCTTTGTGGGTTAAGTCTTATGTCCCAGCTTTGAACTACACTATCCATGATTTAGTGCATAATCTGCAACATATTAGAAGGCGCTTGCCTTAGGAGTTTCTGCAGCAGATTGCCCTGGTGGCTTTTAGAGTTGGAAGGCAATTTAGGATTGGAATTATGGTGTCTTTTTGCAGCTCAACAGGGTATCAACACATTAACCCTGGTTGTCTGTTGTTCTGGTCTTGATGATTAGCCCTGGGGTTCTGGTTGTTTGGGTTTTTTCTCCTTACTGTCATGTTTGGTCTGGGTCATTTTGGTGCTGTGCTGCTGGTCTGAGACTCTGAATGCTTTTCTTTGGGAGATGGTGCTCTGCAGCTGGTCTGTGTGAATGGGGTGTTCTTGGTGAATGTTGTGATCATGTGCCTCATCTATTTTGCTGTTGTGTTGGATTTAACAAACCAGGTGCTTGGATTGAATGTAGGGCTGCTGTGGTGTTCTGCTGCTGGTTTGTGTGAATGGGGTGTTCTTGGTGAATGCTATGATCAGGTGCCTCATC